CCAAAAAGATGCAGTAAACCTCACTAGTGACCAAAGAACTGAAAACCAAGTAGAAACCAAGTAGCCCTCCGCAGAAACTGTCACTTATCTCAAAAGGGCGGGAAGAAAAGGACCTCATGAACGAAGAAAGCACAATGACAATCTTCACTATGAGAGAACTAAAGACAATCGAACTAATGCATATGATTCTGCTACAAATAACTTTATGGACATTATAACACTCAACTCAACACTAAGAAGAGTTACGGAGAACATAGAGAAAATAGTATACTCGATCAGATCATATTATCATTTATTCATTCTAACTTCATTGAGTACCAACATGAAATTAACTAAGACAACTACAACTAGAGCAGCATGAATTCGTACGGCCCATTGACAAAGATCAATAAAATAAAAGAACCAATAACTTGCCTGCTGAACATCAAGTCCTCTTGCCCAAACATCAGTAGTGATTAGGACACGAGTAGTTCCAGATCGGAACTCCCCCATGATTGCATCTCTTTCCTTTTGAGGCATGTCCCCATGCATATGGGAAACTGTGAAGTTATTACTTCGCATCTTCTCAGTCAACCATTCAACCTGCAGGCAGCAGATCACATAAAAAAATCTATAAAAAACAATTTCAATGATAGTATGCAAATACAAAAAGGCAGAAACCCCCATGAAAGAGAAAATATTTAAATTCTCACATCAGATAAAGGAGTCCAAGAATCAGTGCAATGTGATCTAGAACTGAGATAGGCATCCAGTTGTTAGAAGCACATAGTAGACAAAGGGTAAGGGATAGGTCTGATAAGTAGTTGTGATAGAGGCTGTAGGACGCTTTGCAACTAATAGTTAGCTTCAGTGTGATCCTCAGCAAGTATTTAGAAGGAAAGTCCAGTAGAATATGGGTACTCTTTGGGTTATAGTGACCAGGGGCTATGAGTGTAGAGGATCTCTGGGATTATCAGCAAGTATTTAGAAGGAAAGTCCAGTAGAATACGGGACTTTTTTGGTTATAGTGACCAGGGGTTATGAATGCAGAGGATCTCTGGGATTATTCTTATGCAATGATATGCTCTTTCTAATTAATAAAAGCTAGTTCTATCCTCAAATAGACTTTTCAGGTCACACTGTTGCCGGGTAAAATTGTTCTAAAACAATAAATAAGGATGAGGACCAAAGGTTGCACAATAATAAAACAATGTTCCAAACATTCGGAACATACCAAAATCATGTATAAAGGAAAACATGCATAAAATATCTAACAATAAAATATTTTCTGCTTCAGAATGAGTCTGACAAGCGTTCTAGAAGATCTATTTGAAGGAGAACTAAACAAATTTGACCACATTACCTTTCGCTTAGTGTTACAGAAAATTACAGCTTGGGTGATAGTCAAGGTGTCATAAAGATCACATAAGGTATCAAATTTCCACTCTTCCCTTTCAACTGCAACGAAGAATTGCTTAATACCCTGTCAATTTAAAAGCATGCATCAGGATGTTGATATATTTCAGGAGAGAATTTCATCATCTACAAATAAAATATTACAAACCTCTAAAGTTAACTCATCACGCTTGACAAGGATCCTCACAGGATCTGTCATAAACTTGTTTGTCATCTCAAGGATTTCATGAGGAAGGGTAGCAGAAATCAAGACAACCTATCATAAATATTGATGGGAAAACTCATTAAATCAACCAACCTATAAATAGATAAATTCATAAAAACAGGTAAAAGACACTAGTTGCTCATAATCAAACCGGTAAACAGTGCATAAAAGGACACAAAGTATAAAATTTAGAAATCCTATATGTACAAGAATATATAATCAGTATCACATTTGTTATAAACTGACACACGAAGGAAACAAATGCAAGCAAAAATCAAGATTAAATGTCTGCCACATCAAGGACATCATAGAAACCATAAAAAATTATTTGGGAAAACACTACTGTTATTTCTTGGTCTGAGAAGTCCTAACTCTTCCCGTACAAAATAGAAAATCAACTACATGTAATATTGCAGAAAAAATATTATTGTACCAACAAATTTGTCATCAATACGTTTAGAAAAGCATGTATGAAAAATAATCATTTTCATGTTCAACAAGTTAAAGAAGACATGCTTAGCAACAATTCAATGACAGAGCTGCATTTCATTTTTATCCTCCTATGCCTCCCATGAGCACAATCATTAACACATTGGGGGGAAGACGGAGAGCGGGAGAACCTGAAGTTCTGGTGGGAGATATCGATATACATCATAAATTTGGTCTTTAAACCCTCTGCTCAGCATTTCATCAGACTCATCCTGAAAAAGCAAATATTAGAAAACCACATTACAAAGGAGAGATAAATTGAAGGGCACCCAAAATTACCAAAATTAACAACTTAATGGCTCTGGTACGCAGTGTCCTTCTCTTGATCATGTCACAGACTCTTCCAGGAGTTCCTGACACAACCTGAACTCCAAACTCAAGCTTTCTGATATCTTCACCTACACTTTTTCCTCCGATACATGAGTGTGCTTGTATATTTATGTAGTCGCCAATTGCCAATATAACCTTCTCCGTCTGAGTTGCCAATTCTCTCGTAGGGGACAAGATCAAGGCCTGCACCCTGATTAGATTAAGATGCATAATGATCATAAGAGTTTGAAGTTAAAGAGATCGTCTTACAAAAACGATCATATGTAAATCGGAAAATTCTCATGAGCTATGAGTTGAATGCATATCAAATCTTCTACGACAAAAAAAAAAAAAAAAAAAAAAAAAA